TCTCTCCCTCTCTTTCTCCCTCCCTTCCCCTCTCTCTGAGAGTAATAAATAAAATCTTTAAAAATATATATGGTTGATACTAATTTTTTAAAAATACATATTTTTTAAAAGAAAGAATACAAACCTGAAGGAAAATTACTTTTACTTAGAATTCTGTACTCAATTAAAACAAGGGTTAGCTAAACAACCCACAGTTTTTCATGAAATAACACCACCATCTATCCTTTGTTGCAGTGTCTACTGTGTTTGGGAAGGTTGTATCCCAATGCAGGGAAGCAAACCAGAAGGTGGAAGGCGGAGAATTGATGAAACAGGAACTAACTCAAGAAATAGTGCGGAAAGGAGCCCCTAGGACAGTGAGGGAGGGTCCCAAGGAACAGGGGCGTAGTGAGCCTAGAAAGCAGCCGGTTCAGACTAGAATAGCAAAGATTCTCAGAATCCGAACCACTAGAATCTGCCGTGATAAGTATCCACACTGCATCCCGTAAATGCCGACTATTGCTGTAACAGAACTGGGGGACATGGAGGGACATGGAATTGTGTGTCTGTGGTGGGTTGGAAGTAGAGGTTAAAAAATGAAATCCCTACTGAAATGGCTAGGCAGTTAATAATGCCCAAACCTGAACAAATCAAGCTGTTGCAATACCAGAAGGATCACCTTTTAAAAAGATACTTTATCGTTGTTACAATAGACTGTATATGACCTGTAGAGAGGAGATGCTGTGAGTGAGGTTTGGAAGACCTTTAAATATGAACACCGTGTTCTAAGCCAGGCACTTTTCTTCCATGGTTAACCTGGGCTGCTCATTAGAGCCCACGCGGGGACGGCTGAAAAAGCCCTGATGCCCTCGCCCCCCTCAAGTTGCGGATTTAATTGGTCTGAGATGGAAAGTGGGCTCTCAGTGTTGAGGACCTTCCTTTATGTGTGTTATCATTTAATTCTCAGAGCAACCTCACAAGGTGTAAGTATCATCTTTTTTTAGCAAAACTGCGTGGCTCATTGTAGAAAATCAGAAATATCCAATTCACTAGCTCATTATCCACACTGAAGACTTTTATCTCCATCCTTAAATGCTTCATTCCACTTTTTTCTAAGAACTAGAGCATTCTCCCACATAACCACAATACCATTAGCCCTCCTTTTCTGACCAGTTTATTTGCATTATCTGTCTGGCTTTTGATTACAATAGCCTCTGAAACTACATAGTTTTTTAGTGAACCACCTAAAATCCTGACTTCTGTCTCGTTATGGGTTAGAGATATAAAAATAGTTACTTTGGCCTCAGGAAATACCATGAAAATGTCCCTACCTTCAAGGCATTTCCTGAATAAGCTGAGGAGCTCCTTTAGGGTCAGGTGCCTCTCACCTTTTATATCTGTCCTAGAGATGAGATGCTGAGAACTGGCCAGGTCCTCAAAGGATATGACCGAGGGTTTATTGGTGACCGAAGTGGAGTGGCTTTTCCTCAGTTGGTCAAGACTTACCAACCTCCCCACAAGTAAACAAATGTTTCTTCTGTTATTTAACATCAATGATGGCTTATCTACATGCTCACACCCCCTTTTTCTTACTGGCTTTCCTTATGTAAGACAAGGCTGGGGGGGAGACGCCGTTGAAATTGATCTACCACCTTCTCCTTAGCTTGGGTCAATTTGCCTCTTCAAATCCTAGATTTTTCTCCGTGGTTCATAAATCTCACACTTAAGTCTGAGATTTAAATCAGGGACCTCACCTATGTTGAAGAGAACCCTTCAGGGGGGTTTTGTTTGGTTTTGTTTTTTTCTATTGGCAGTGATAATAGCCTTTCCAGATGGCACAATGTCACAAAAACATTCATACAATCAGAATGTCTAACTTGCCCTGGCTGGTGTAGCTCAGTGGATTGAGTGCAGGCCTGTGCACCAGAGGATTGAGGTTCGATTCCCAGTCAGGGCACATGCCTGGGTTGCCGGCCAGTTTCCAGCAGGGCACGCATGAGAGGCAACCAGACATTGATACTTCTGTCCGTCTCTCCTTCCCTTTCCCTCTCAAGATAAGTAAAATCTTTAAATAAAAGAACCTCTAACTTACGGGATTCCCTTCTGGGGTGATAATGTTCTGGAACTAGACGGGTGATGGTTGCAAAACACTGTGACTGTTCAAAATATCACTAAATTATACACTTTAAAATGGTAAGTGTTATGTATATTTTCCAGGGTTTAAAACGTCTCCTGCCCACCCCCTCACCATAGCTTCGAGGGAACACAAAAGTAGGCTCTCTGTGCAGAATCCCTTCCTGCCCAAGACCAGTTTGCAGCCGGTCCCAGGTCTTCTCATGACAGCTGGCCATTGTGTTAAGCCTCTCGGGCAAATGCTGTGCCAGGCTGGCCTCCCCGCCACACTGGCCGTTCTGGTTCCTCTTTACCCCATGGCTTGGTGAGTGTACAGAGCATAAAACGTACTTTGCAGATTGGCCTCAACAAAGCGTAAGGAAACGAGGAGTCTATTAGCACTGACATTAGAAAACGAAAACAAAACTCTCAAATTACCTTAACTAGTTTTCACTCTTTTGAAAGCAGTGGACCCACTTCTTATAGAATATTGTGTCTTAAGCCCACAATGAACATACATAGTCACCCTCCACCCCTGTGTCCTCCCCAGCAACCCCAGGGTGCCTCTCAGGGTACCTTTGACATACACTGTTCCATATCAGGGTTTTTTCCTTCACTGCTCGTTCGTTTGTCTGTTTGTAAGCATTTAAAGAAATTCACAGGAAACCTCCTTGAGTCACATGTTAAGGGTTCAGAGTTGCAAAGAAACAAAAGCTCTATTTCTTGACATACCTGCAGGGCACTGGCCAGTCAGCGCTGTATGGGTGATGGGGACAGCTAACTGAATATGGAAATACATATGTGTGATACCTCAGTGTAATTTTTTATCTTTGGGGAAGTACCCTAAAATACGTATATTTTCATAGGTGAAGATCTGTTTTAATCTCACTACTCTGACATACTCCCAATATTTGAGGCATGCGCGCGTGCGTGTGTGTGTGTGTGTGTTTTAAAAGTAAAAACGAAGTGTGCTAGAGAGGCCGCAGCTGGGGAGGACTGCACTCCTGTTGGGCCTGCACCCCCACTGTGCCCCGAGAGACAGGACGGCTGTGCTTCATCAGAGGCCGACTTGGGTGCAGTTGCAGAGTTCCGAAGGAGTCGGTGCGCTCTGGTGCAGGCCCCATGCTGTTGGCCTTGCATCTTCCCGTAGCAGAGAGCAGCAGACAGCACAGGGGAGAATTCCGTGTCTCTCACCAATATCTTACTGACCTGGAAACGCTTACTATATGAGAAGTTCAGTTTCACAGTTGAAAATATGGAAGCGATTGACCACTAGGAGGACATTAAGAGGACTTACAACAATATTTAGAGAATAGTAATATGGCCCTGGCTGGTTTGGCTCAGTGGATTGAGGCCCAGCCTATGAACCAGAGGGTCACCCTTTCAATTCCCAGTCAGGGCACATGCCCGGGTTGCAGGCCAGGTCCCCAGTAGGGGCAAGAGGCAACCACACATTGATGTTTGTCTTCTGTTCTTTCTCCTTCCCTTCCCCACTCTCTAAAAATAAATAATTAAAATCAGTTTTTTAAAAAGACAGGCCTGAGAATCAGAGGATCGTGGTTCAATTCCCAGTCAGGGCACATGCCTGGGTTGCAGGCCAGTTCCCAGCAGGGGACCCACGAGAGGCAACCACGCACTGATATTTCAATCCCTCTCTCCTTCCCTTCTCCTCTAAAGATAAATCAATAAAATCTTTTTAAAAAGAATAGTAATATGTTAGATCTAATCGATGTTTACCAAAAACGTGCTCTTTTCAGACAGGGACAGCAGCGAGTGTGGTTCCGCTGTGGAATGAATTGGGCACGTGCCTCCATTCTGTTGGTATTGTTGGTGTCAAAACGGGTGTACATTGAAGAAATTATATTAGTTAATTCACTTATTTTTAAAAGTATTTCTTATATTTACTTTTTATTATAAAATTGTTGCCATGTACAAAAAACACAGCATAAGTATACACTCTAAGGGCATAAAGAGAACCCGTGTGTAACCATGATGGACCTCAGGGAATACGGCGTCATCGCGTCCCAGAAGCCATTCGGGTCTTCGTGACTCACAAAAGGCTCTGTCCCTAAAGAAACGAGAATGAGGCTGGATTTATTTCTAACTCTGGCATTAGTATTTACAGCAACTCGATGACACTTTTCACTTGTTGGATCATGTTAAGAGTAGAAAATTTAGCTGCTCGAAAGAAATGTTTTGGTGGTAAATTTTGTTGAACTTGTGTTGTTATTGGTTGAAATACCAGAACAGTGGCTTATTAGATAAAATTTTTAACAAAGAAGTCAATCCCAAATGCATGATTTCTGTTTGCTATGTCAAGGATTGCTTTTCCATTTTATTTTCTTGGTTTAATGTGCATACCTTCATTTGGCATCTTTTGTATAAATGATCGCAGCCAATTAATGTTTATCTCGCACATAGATGTTTCTCCCCCTCTCTTCTCTCTAAAAATGAATGAATTATTGCTATGACTCTTTCTGTGGATTAATATTATTTTGTCAGAATGAGATAAATTATCCCCTTTTTTGCAAACACATATTCACTGTCATTTTCTTATGAAGTATAAATTTTAAAAATTAATGGAGTAGCAGCCCTTGACATTTGGTTTTGTCTCCATTAGACTTAATAAACTGTTTTAGAATATTTTTTAAAAAGTCACATGCTGCCCAGAATTTGGAGACTGGCTCCTCTGAGTCCGCGCATGTAAAAATAAACTTCCACTTCGCACCCCTGGAAAAAAAAAGTCATGTGCTATTTTGTAATCTGGTTCTATCCCTTATCAGAGTAAATTTGTATTAAATGAACATACACATTTGAGGTGAATGAGAGGTCTGATAAATTCTTCATAAAAATAAAACATGCCATCATAGACAGCTTCTAACTTTATGCTACTTATCTCTCTCCTGTAGAGTCGCAGCGGGAATTCAGTAGCAGGCCAGCCACAGGATATGTGCCTGTGGAGTTTTGGAAGAAAACTGGTATGTGTCTGTCTGCGTGCGTAGGGTTGCATGCACTGATCTGTGCCCGTGTGTAGCGCCTATTTGATGGAAAGATTGTTGTCTCATAACTTCCTCCCAGTAGAGCTGTAGGCCCCTGCCTCTTCCCCTCCGACCTCCCCACACCTCCAAACGCCTCTCAGGTCACTTTGCAGGTCATGAATTTGGAATGCCTCCCTACAGTCTATCCAGGCCCCTTTTACACCCTTCTTCTGGGTCACACGGAGGCATTAAGTAACCAACTCCTCTTTCCTTGTTTATATGCCCTGTTTCTGGACATGCCGCTTAAAATTCATTTCTGCCTATTCTGTTCAGTAGAATCTGTACACACTGTGTTCACATTTCATTTATTCTGCTCTTGGAACCAGCTGGCTGTCCCTTCAGCTTCACTGCCCCTAGCTTCATCGGGACTGTTCTGGGGAGGCCTCGGTTTCCACAAGAGTAAAGAAGGGTGGAGCTGCCTGCCATGGTGACGGGATCACACTAACCTCATATTCCTAATCCTTCCCTTACTCCAAATCCTAGCTGCCTTTTCTTCTTGCCTGCTTCTCCCAGTGACATTTAAATCCAATACAGTTTTTGCTTTTCATCCTGAGATAAAATTTGCTTCAGCAAAAAGTTAATACTTTTAACTGACCCAGGCAGAGAACAATGGGGTATAGACACGGGTCTGGGCAGGGTGCCAGGAACCCTGATCCCAGCCTCCCACCACCGTCCTGCTTGGTTGTCCACAGGACAGACACTCCAAACGACACTCAGCCCTAAGTCCCAGTGTAGACACCTCCCTCCTGGGGCAGGGATGGAGACTCTCGTCCTTTGGGAGTGTGTCCATGAAGACTTTCAAGAGCATCAAGATCATAATAAACAAATGGACAAAAGATAGGAACAGACAAATTCTGAGAAATACAAATAAACATGGTAAAATGTTCATTCTTACTGACAATAAGAAAAATTAGCATGCACAAGATCTCTTTGGTAATTGGTTATTTTGTACTCGGGAGGTACCTTTGGTTACCAGCCAGACTGTGGCACTGGGCCAGCTGAATTCAAGTCCTTGCTCTGCTATAGTGCCATCTGTACGTGATCTTAGACGACCTTCAGCAAGGTAGTTATCCAAACTGATTCCTGTGATCCTTAGACTGAGAGGATAGGTGTTCTTCAGGCATTGTTCCGTTGGCTCATGAAGAGAGACACTACCTACCTGATGACTAATAGGAGTATTTGAAAGGTGGCTGTGCTGGGCTGCAGTAGACCTATGTGGCCATCAAAAGTAAAGGAAACATGGAGTTCAGTGTCAAGTCAACTGAACATCATGCTTGCTTGACCTTGGAGGTGAAAGCTCTCTTTTCTTAAGGCTGGAGCAGTAAAATGCAAAGTTCGAGGATGGCAGCCTGGAATGCTCTGTTGAAACCTCCTCTGAGCCGCGGCCACACGCGAGAGCTGCGCAGTGAGGGGGTCTCCATCCCTGCCCCAGGAGGGAGGTGTTTACACTGGGACTTAGGGCTGAGGCTCAGGCCTAGGGTGTCGTTTGGAGTGTCGTCCTGCAGACACCAAGCAGGACGGTGGTGGGAGGCAGTGATCAGGGCTCCTGGCACCCTGCCCAGACCTGTGTCCACAGCCCATGGTTCTCTGCCCAAGTCAGTCTTCCACACCTGCCTCCTGTTCCTTTGTACCTGGGTACCCCAGAGGTGCTTCAGCCTCACTCACCTCCACACCAGCATTTTGCTTTATGTCCATTTCATTGCATAGCACCACCACTCATCACCTTGACCTCCACCTTCAGACCCGAACTGCTGCCAGTCTCTGCTCCATCCCCTCCTCTGTGCCACTTGCTTCTGCCTAAACTCAGGGTCTCTTTTATCCCTTCTGAATTGCTATCCCAGCCTCTCAATTGGTATCTCTGTCTTAAGCCTTTTCTCCTTGCATAGAACACTTTGGAGTTCAGTTTCTTTAGAAAAGGGGCCAGATTCTTAGCATCAGATGCAAGACTCTCCAAAAACTCATTTCTACCATGTCAACCAAGACACATTTTCTTGGTCCTCCCCTGTCACTTGTAAAGCTGACCGCTTTTCCCTTGGGTCTCAGCTCCTGCTGACACCTAAGCCACCTTTATACTTGGTCACAGTTAGGAGAACAGGGACTACAGCGTAGTCACCCGGGCATTCCCAGTGCCCTGCACAGTGCCTGCCTCCATCTATATTCCTAGCAGCTGGTTGCATGAATAGACAAGTGAGTGTGGGAATAAAAGCTGAACACATGTATGTTCATCTCTGTGTGTTTTTAGAAAACAGTCGTCTTGTTTCATTTCTTTCCCTTTTTAGAAATGATGCGGGTGGGAGGGAAAAGATTTCTCGGCCAGTTGATTTTATTGTCACTTTCTTCTAGAAGAAGCTGTGAATAAGGTGAAAATTCAGGCCATGTCAGAAGTACAGAAAGCCGTCGCTGAGGCAGAGCAAAAAGCCTTTGAAGTGATTGCAACAGAGAGAGCGCGAATGGAGCAGACCATAGCCGACGTCAAGCGGCAGGCGGCGGAGGACGCCTTCCTCGTCATAAACGAGCAGGAGGAGTCCACAGAGGTCAGAGTCCCGCCAGCCCTGGGGGCCGGGCCGGGTGGGGGCTGGCCTGGCACAGCCCACTGCTTTCTTCCTAAGTACTGGGCAGTAAGCTAGAACTGTCCACTCTTGAACTAGACGGTTATGGTTTTTATCCGGAAGCAGAAGGGTTTTATTTCTCAATTATACAGGACAGGGGGGAGTAAAAGTGGGTTTACGGTTGTTCATGTGGAAAATAATACAATAATCAACAAACAATAATACAAGAGCAAACCCTGTGTTTCGCATACTCCCAACTGTAAATCTACTTTTGCCCCATCCTGTTCTCTGTTCTTATATCTATTAGCTTACTGTGCTGGTTTAGATTTGAGGAACTCACCCTAAAGACAGAGTGCGTGGAGGTGCAGGGCAGAGTGACTCTCCCCTGAGCGAGTGGGCCCTGCACTGTGTGCCGCCGCCTTTCGGTCCTCCCAGGGAGGCGGGTGTTGTTGGATTCTGATCTGACAGGTGAGGAAACTGCGGGTCAGGGAGTTTAACTGACGCGATCCCACAGTGCTGAAGCCAGGGTGCAGGAGGAGGGCAGTGCCGGCCCCGGTAGCCTGCGTTCCACTTGTGAATAGGGTGGTTCTTTGATGGATCAAAGCGACAGATCAGGCAGACCTGCCAACTCTCTAAGACCCAGGGCTCAGGAGTCGGTGATGCTTCTAAGAGAAACGACTCCCTTGTACAATGAAGTAGGAAAAAATGAACTAACTGGGGGTGGGGAGGGAGTGGGGAGTACATGACAAAAACACTGCAGCAGTCCTTTTGAAGATAGTGAAGTTTTTCTGTAACTTTCATTTTAGTGGCTTTTCAGCTTTAAGTGCCCTAAGCAAGCCTGTTTTTCTCTAAGTAGGTTGAGTGATTAGCTATCTTTGGGACATTCTCTTAAATTTGTAAAGAACTGGGTATTTTGGTTGTGTTGTTTGTTTGTTTTTTTAATTTAAACAACAGGAGGTTTATTTTCTCAATCTGTTTACATGATCCCTTTCAATATAGCAGTGCCAAGCATGATGATGTAAATATGAAAATGTCTAAGGATCATGTGGTCATCACAGAGGATGTGAGACAATTCTTTGTAGCACTGTATGAAGACACTGAGTCAGGAGAAAATAGCTCCTTTAATTTACCCCGTAGACTATCTAGTGAACCTGGCGTCAGAGCAGTGAATGGTCGTATTGGTGAGAAAGTGACTCTCCAAATTCATGCCACAGTTTTTTGTTTGCTCAGAAATGTGTGCTGCATATGCGATCAGAAGTCATATTTAAAATTGAGACTCAATGGGGAAGAAAAGGAAATAGTTTCTTTAACTCTCCCCTCCTACTTTTTCTTTAGAATTGTTTCTGAGCAATGATATCTTTTTCTGTTGTGTGTATTCAATTGTATATCTATGTAGATATCTAATTCTATGTCTAGCTATTCATATCAATATCTATATTTGTCCATATTTATCTACTTTTATATCTGTGTTTATATTTTCCTATGCCTTTCTCCGAAGGAGTGTATGTAACATTTGGCTAAGAGCATGAGTTCTAGATCTGGACTGCAGCACGATTTAAATCCCAGCTCTCCATTTATGGGAGTCTGCTTTTAAGGAGCAGTAATTTTAAACATTGTACACATTTAAAGTCCAGCAGGGCCCCCACTGGAGTGGCTTGGTGGATTGGGCACCGGCCTGCAAACCAAAGGGTCATCGGTTCAATTCCCAATCAAGACACATGCCTGGGTTACAGGCCAGCAACCCCCACCCCCACTGGGGTCGCTTGAGAGGCAACCACACAAGTCTAGCAGGGTGTCCCTGGCATTCGTCATTCATCCTGTGAGGTGGTTTGGTTATCGGGAGAGCCCTGGCCCTGAACCCCGTCCTTGTTGCCCCTCACTAACAGTGTGTGCCCTGAGGAATCAGTTTACTTCCCTGTATAGTGGGCGTGTGGCAGCCCCCGTCCTGCTGATCTCAGAGTTTCTGCAGAGGTAACAACGCAGTTGTGATGGTGAAAGTGTTCTTGCACCGGGCTGCATGCCCCGCAGGCAGGGCGCAGGTGGGGAGGATTTTACAACGTGGTTAACGACTTGGGTGAAAGCCGAGGCAGCTCCTCTCTTGCAGAGCTGCCCCCTCCGAGGCCAGACCCGGGCGTCTCCCCTGGAGTTATTAGAGACTGTCTGGCCAAGCATGTGCCTTCAGCTTGGAGGAACGCTGACTTGAAGGGCGACTGCAACAACAAGCCTTTTTTGTCTTGTGTCTTGGCAAAAGCCTCGTGGCTGAGTCAGGAAAAAGTCACGGGGAAAGGGAACACAACGGTGTCCTTTCACTCCGGCCGCTCTGGCACTCACCACGTCGCTCCTGCATGGGTGTGTGTGGCCCTGCCTCAGTGGGAGGCTGTTTATTTTGTTTTTATTGTGTGTCAGAAATTATGAAATACGCTATTTTGGGTAGAATGGCCGCCGAGGTGAAAGTACCAGTGCTTTCGTACCCTGCCCCGATGCCCAGCCTTGGACAGAGGCGCTGGGCGCTCTCCCCTTCAGCGGGGCTGGCCCGCTGGCCTCTTCCCACAGCCGTCCCTGGAGACAGCCATCGAGGTCTTCCCCGAAGGTGGCCTTGTCCTGCCGAGGCATCGCAGGAGTCATTAAATTCTCTGGGGTGCTCGAGCCCTAACAGTGGCTTCGGTTCTCTCTTCTGGTCGTTGGGTGTTGGTGTCGGCCGGCTGGGACAGTCCCTGGCGTGTATCTCCTGAGAAGCCTGTTGTGTTAGAAGGGCGTGCACAGCCCTTCCTGAGGTTCTTTGAAACTGAACTTACGCAGCGGGTGTAGTGAAATCACGAGGTTCGGGTTCCAGGCTTTGTACAGCCAAGTAACCGTTTTTATAACCTTAGGCAAGCCCTTGCCCGCTGGCCCTCAGTGTCCCGTCCATACGATGCAAGAGGGGGACCAGGTGGCCCCTTTCGGCACTTACTGTCCATTGTTTTTCGCTTGAACAAATGTCCTGATTTCACGAGGGCTGGCGTCTCTTTCCTGAGGAGTGTTCAGTCCGGGCCTTGTGATCTGCTCCCGCTGTTCCGGAGAACTTGGGGAGGGAGGGGCTGTCCAAGTCCTTTAGGATACCTAAGCGGTCCTTGCCACTGCCTCCTTCTGGCCAGTGCCATAGGCTTTTGTCTTCCCGTAAGTGGTTCCCGGAGGCCTTGGGTGCAGAAGTCACTGCTGGAGTCATCACGGTAACCTGGAGGAAGGAGAAGAGGCCGGTGCTGGGAGCTGCACTTAGTGGCCTCCTTCTTCATGATGCTAAAGCTTAACACTGGTCAGTGACTGTTTCAGCTGCTTCTTTCGTGGCTGCTGCTTCTAGCTCTGGGCACACCTCGCGTAGCGTGTATCCTGTCACAGAATTAGAGCATTTTTGAATGGGGCCCCCTGGCTCCCCCTCCACCGTGGGTTCTGCTGAACCGCAGCAGTGCCTGCCTCCCTCCAGGAAAGTTCAGAGTAGCAGGAAAACTCCCTGCCCTAGAGCCCTGGGGCCCTGGGCTCTGAGATACTATGGGGACTCCTATCAACAAGCCAGAAGTACCTTCATGACCCCCAGGCCGACTATGACAGGGCACATCTCTAAAAGGAGAGAGGGCACAGCCACCCACACTCCTGTTCAGCCATCCTGGTCTTCTGGCAGGTGACTTATTTTTTAAAAATTAGGTGTTGTCAGTGAAAATAAGATTATTCCTCTGTTGGAGAGACTAAGAGAGAAAACCATTGTGTGGTCTTAGAATAGATAGCTATGGGGGGGGTCCCTGGAACAGGGTTAGGTTTGGTTACTGAGGAATAAGTCGTGAGTTGGTGCCTTCAGCAGGAGATGGGACTCCCACCTACCCTACAGTGATGCTGTTTGGGTTTTCACACCCCTCATCTTGCTACCGCCTCCATCAGGGTAGATACCCTTCCGTTTTACTCAGGAGACTGGGAAGGCAGACAGCGGAGGCAGGACAAGCCCGGGTGTGTGGAGCTCCAAGCCCAAGCTCTCCGCACACAGGCCCCTCTCCGCAGTGCACGTGACAAGCGATGACAGGTCTGCCCCGCAGCACCCGAGCAACTAACTGATGCCTGTGTCTTGCAGAACTGCTGGAACTGTGGCCGCAAAGCCAGCGAGACCTGCAGCGGCTGCAACATCGCACGGTACTGCGGCTCCTTCTGCCAGCACAAGGACTGGGAGCGGCACCACCGCCTCTGTGGCCAGAACCTGCATGGCCAGAGTCCTCACAGCCAGAGCCGGCCGCTGCTTCCTGGAGGGAGGTCGGCCAGGTCTGCTGATTGCAGTGTTCCAAGCCCAGCCCTGGACAAGACCTCAGCAACCACCTCACGTTCCTCAACACCTGCCTCTGTGACAGCCATCGACACCAATGGACTCTGAGCCCCGGGCCCACTTCCCTCTGATGACCTCACAACATAAAGGCTGGCTGTTTGGATCAGTACCAATAGCTGTTGGGTCATCAGTAAGAAGTGAAGTGAAGGTGCAAATGGTCCCAGCCCGGCACACACTGCACCACAGCCTCTGCAGACATTCACCCGTCTCCCACCCGAGTTCTTGGGGGAGCTGGTGCGTGTTCTCTCTGCACACAGGCAGCTGGCCGGAGTTGCCTCCTCCACGGCTTTCTGGTTTGCTCCTCTCCCCACTGGCGCTGACGTGGCTGGGCTCTTTTCGGTGTAGACCACCAGCTCCCTCACTGCCTCTTGGGGCAGCAGACTGTCCAAGGTGCCCAGCCAGGCTGGAGGCAGTTCACCCCACATGGTCTCCTACCCCACTGTCCTCCCTGGAGGCCTGGAGGCTGACCGCAGGCCGTGGAGAGGTCCTGTGACGGGGATGGCCCCTCGGACTCCCGACAGCTCGGACGAGCCCCAGTCCCGCCCTCAGCAGGTGCCACAGGGACTTCGGGGGGCAACGAGCAACACTCAGGACTCACTTGACCCTGCTGTGCGGACTCTTTAGGATTCTCAAAAACCACAGGAAAGTCACCATTTCAATGCAAGTACCCGCAACAATAAAAAATACATAAAACTTCCACAAAGCATCACAGAGAATTTCGGACAAGATTTTCCAGCCTGGCTGGATGCTTTTGTTTGGGACCCAGCGTTCTCGCCCATTTGATTTTGCTTGTGCAGAAAATAGTCTCCGGCGCATGGATCAGTCTGAGCGAGAATGAGACGCAGCTGTGGACGGTCTGCTCTCTCTGCGCGTGTCGGCCAGTTTCTGTGGTCCGGTCACGGAATGGATCGCCCATCGGAAACGCGGAACCTTTTGTCACCGCCTGGCGGTCTGCACAGTCGTTCTGTGTCATTTAATCAGAACACGCGTGTCCGGATCATTATGTGGATCTCTTCCTGGGGCCTCTGGCACCTTGCAGGCCGCAGTTGCCCCGTAAGACATGATGTGGTGTGACGAGGCCGGTCACTTCCGAGCAGCCCTCGGGACGGAAGGAATTCTCAGACCTCACGGTTTCCTGTCACTCTGCGTAGCACGTCAGTTTATTACTGGGCAGCCTGATTCCCTTGTGTGTTTGATAAGTACCCTCTCTGAGCTAAGAAATGTGAAGTGTGAGAACTGTTTGGAGAGAGCCTGACCAATTTTCTTCCTGTCTTAGGGAGTTTTCCAGCTGCTGACCTGGCTCTCCAAATAAGACGTCACCTAAACCCCTTTTGAAATATTAAAAACTGCCGCACACTTTCCCCTGCCATTCAGGTTTTGTTGGGAGCCCAAGGACCCTGACCTTTCTGCACTCCACCCGCACCGCTCCGGCACCCTCTCTCCCCCGGATCAGTCGGGGTGAGTGGGTCGTCCCTGCTCCTGTGGGCACTTGAAAACCAGCTTCAGGTGCCGCTTCCCTGCTCATGACGGGAGGCAGGAAAAGCTCAGCCCTGTGTCGGAGCAGTCATGGGCATGGGCAGCGTTGTTCTTCTGCTCGGTATCTCTTACTTTACAAGTTTTTACTCCTTGATTTACCTTACCCAGGGGTTTTCTGTCTTCTAAAGAGACTCAGCACAAGACACCTTTAAAACACCTGTATTTCCACCGCACAAAGTCAAGTTCGCCCAGAAAAGGGACAGCAGAGCAGCGTCGCATTCATTTGGAACCCCTGATGCTGCGGCCGTCGGCAGGCGTTGCAACTGCAACAGGTGTGAGATCAGCACCTGGACAGGACCCGCCCGCACTTCTGTTAAGTTGCAGGATGTCCCCATAAGGCAGTTGGGGAGCCTATAAATCATTTACCACAAGGTCACGTGGTGTCCACGGGGTCTGGCTCACCTCTTTTTGGCAAGTTGGATGAACGCCTAGGCAGGTTCTTTAAACTTAAGTGGCTACAAGACTAGTTAGGGTAGATCAGGTTTTTCCTGGAGTAAAGACCCCGAACCAACAAAATGCTATTCATCAGAACTTTATGCCAGCTTTTTAAGCTAAGGTTTGGGTTTAGTTGTGCGGGGCCTGGCTGACTCTGGCCCTGGTTCCTGCGACAGATGAGTGTTCAGAGTTGTTCCGATGCTGTTGGACGCTGCTGCTCATGTGCCGCGCGGGTCCGGGCTGGAGGGAGAGCTGAGCCGTGTTCCGGCTGCAGTTCAGTTCGCAGGCCTTCTGTTGTGTTCTTTTTTGTCGGTTCCACACACAGGCTGCAGGCATCTGCCAAGACTTACTGTCTAAGTGCAAAGAATCCCTCTCTTGAGCTCCCTCCTTTCTGAATTTCTCCAGCTGTCTGGTCCGAAGGAGGAAGGGCAGTGTCATGGGGTGAGATGGGGTGCGTCATGGTGCCCCACTTGTTCCAGTTTCTGCTGACACCACCCCAGCTACCAGGTTGGGGGTGCATTCCCACTTTCATCTAGTTGAGTTTTAAATAATCAGGCTGCTTAGAGGACCCACTTTTATAGTCAGTATTTGGGGGGGGACAAAGAGTAGATGGGTTAGAGTGATGATACTGAAGGTGTCGGGCTGTCACGGGCTCTTCCATGACACCCTAGGAATCAAAACCAGATGTGACATGAGCCTGCCCAGCCATCAGAGCAGATCAAGAGGACAAAGCCGGTGTTGAGCATCACCCACTGAGTGACGCTGATAAGTGACAGGATGTCATTGTCCTGCCCAGTGAGGAGTGGTTGCTGGAACCAGAGAAGACCAAAAGCAGCCAGCATGGAAGGCATCTTTAAATGTGTTCCCAAGGACACTTGAGGTCTGGATCCTCGTGTCTCCAGTCGTCCTCTGGGTCTCCACTGCCTGTAGCTCACCCAACTCGATCCACCAGTGAAAATTGACTGGAAGTTTATTAATTCCACCTGCACAGAAATGGCCCTTCTACCTTAATGGGGTGTGAGCAGTCCACTCCGGAGGGCCCTGAGGTCACGGAGGAGTGAATCTTTCCTTGGATGGTGCTGAGCCATGTACTTATGTCTCAATGGCTCCAGGTCTGGAAACAGGACACATCTGCCCAGCGTCACGGTGCCCTCCACGTTCTTTGCCCGTCCAGGCCGGTTAGCCTGCCAGGAGCTTCTTACTTCTCGGTGTCAGTCTGCGAGTTGAGCGTCTTCAGTTTCTAGACAGGAAATCACTTCCTACGACCTCGTTCCCAAGTCAGATTTATACCCAGTGCTGCCACCTGCTTGCAAAGGGTGCAGACCTTGTTCTGGGAGTTCCAGAAAAATAGCAAGTGGATTTGCAGGTTCAGCAACACAAATTAGAATTGTATCGTAGTGAAGTCTTCAGAATGAAATCATAGGCAGTGAGCAGGTGGCTGCTGTGGAAGGGATTGTGGATGGAATAAATCATTTATAATAGAACCCACCTTGGAGGCTTTCTTCAGAACTGAGTTTTAGACTCCCAGGTCAGTAGACCAAGTCAACTTTCTTAAATTGATTACTATTATTTTTTAGCTGTTTGCAGAGAACTGGGTGGTGGTGCATTTGAACCAAATGTAAGAAAAGCCAGAGGAACCTGGGCTGTTGCAGCGTGGGCCGGCCGGCCCGCTGTCGGGAGGGGCCCTGCCCAGGGCGGTGTGGGCGCTGGGCTAGCTGCCCGCCGGGGCCCTTCCAACACTGGGTGTCTACTTCTTGTGAAACCAAAACGCTGACTCCCTGCCTCCTTGCCCACGTGCATTGACATGCTCATTTCCAAAGACGGTGGTGCAGGTGACCTCTGCCACCGAGAGCCAGGAGAAGGTTAGGAGGTATGAGGGTGGTGGGCCTCACGGGCCCCCTTCCCTCCAAGCTGCAGAGACGGTGCTTCCCTGCAGACCCCGCCTGGCAAGACCCACGACTGCCCAGTGCACACTCATTGATGCTTATACCAAATAGGGCATGTGCGGCCGGGGCTGGCGGGACGGCCCTGTCCCCGCGTTGGAGTTGGCAGAGAAGCAGCAATAAGCATTAGGTGAGTGAGTGAGAGTGGTGTGGCTGAGAGGCCTCCAGTCCACTTTCGCACCTTTCCAAGTTCCCGAGGAGGCTACAAAAGCTCCGTTTATAAAAGAAAGCCAATAATGTAAATAATTTAAAAACAGCCTCCAAGCATGATTTTTAAAGGGAGATGATGAATGTGAAACCACCCACAGGATGCGGTCCAGTCTGGTTTTTCTGTGCTTTGTCATTTCTATGATAGGAACTTTTGTTACTTAACTCTGTGCATAACTTATTTAATGTACTGTATAAATGAACCAAAACTGGTAAATATGTATTTAGTTTGTTCTACTTAGTCAATAAAAAGGCTATATTCCTTTTCTGACTCGAGCTGGAGTGCAGCTGGGAAGGAGGCTGGTGCGCACACTGCAGGGCAGGGGCTCCAGCCGTCCTCCCGTGGCCCGAAGAGCACCAGGGGAATGAAATCTGGACCTACGCTAAGGATCTGGTTGCAGGGGCAGGGCCTCTGGGAAGCCAGCTGAGGGGCCCCGGCCCCGCTCGCACCTTGGCTTTGCCTGCCTGCCTGCCTGCACTTAAGTGCCAGTAACAGTTATGGACACTCCCAGTTCCTTGTTAGCTTCTTCACCCTTAAGTAATTGAATAAGGAAACTACAACCAGAGAGTTTAAAAATTGCCATGTTCTTCTCAAAATGATAATTAATTCTAAGTTGATTATTGAAGTAGGATTTCTACAACCGAACGCTTCTCAGACCCCTGCAAGCCCCCCCCCCTCCCCGTTTGCTGTGTCTCCAGCAGGCCCCAGGTCACACCTTCCAGGGCTCAGAGACCGTTTAACCAGCTGTGACATGACACAGATCTGTGCCGGTGCACCTGTGTACGCGGAGCCCTGGGCCGTCTGTTCAGTTTCTTGGCCGGTGACCTGAGGCCTTGCTTCTTAAAGCTCTGGCCCCAGCCTCCCTCTGTTCCCTGAATACCCAGCTCTGGCCTCTGCTCGACTTTTAAGCAGCCTCGCCCAAAGGCTTGCTGGCACCACCAGCCTCACAGGCCCCCAGAAAGCAAAAGGAAGGCTTGGTTACTAGATCTCAGGGTGCAGGGAACGGCTGGGCTGTGGCCTTGGCCCCAGAAGGCCAGGCTGGGGCTCAGCAGTGGGATCTTGCATGCACATGGGCCCACTGCCAGCCTCTGCAGCTGCCCGGCACTGCAGTCCACCGCCCAGAACCACTACAGGAGCTCAGCCTCGTGACTGTCAGCCCACCATAAACATCCCATGTGGTAGACAAGTCAGGAATCCACTGTCGGCCTTAGCTCTGGAGAATAAAGGGTCCCCAGGGGCTGTGGTGGTAACGGTGAAATGCTGTTAAATGTGCCGTCACAGTGAAACACCCAGATGCAGGATGAACTTAATGATTGTACTTGTGACTGCCATGCCGTGGACACAGATGTGTTGGGATGCCCCCAGGGGTCAGGAAGAAGTTGAGTAACGGAAGCCACACAAGCAGCTGAAAACAAGAGGAAACGTGTGCTGCAGGGGAACAAGAGACGTTCCAAGAAGTGAAGAGTTTGAGCAGTTGGCTGCCTCTAGGGGGAACGTGAGACTAAGCTTAGCGTCTGTTCAAAAACCAAAACCTGAACCTCTCTGTAAGGCTAGAGGCAAGATCACTTTGGCTTTGGCCACAGTGAAAAGGCCAGCAGGGATAACATGCCTGTCTGCAAAGGGAACAGCGGAAAGTTCTGCCCCTGCAAGAAGAAAAGGGGGAAATTTTGACCAGAGACTAGGGTGTAATGTCTGCTCTCTGTGCAGCGGAGAAGGAGGCTGGTGCGCACACTGCAGGGTAGGGGGGCCCCAGCCACCCTCGCTGTGGCCTGTCCGCGCTGTGGTCCTGGAGCTGAGGTTCAGATGTTCTTGACTCCAGAGGTTGAAACATCCCTAGGATGAGAAGTGAAGATGATTCTAGGCTTGTAGTATCTCCCAAGTGTCTGGCAGAAGCAAAAATGAAGATCCTCCAGAGAAAAATATCAACATAATCGTAATATTGCATATCGACCAATTATAAACTATTCAGAAAAGTTACTGACCATCCAAGGGAATGAGCCACTATTGGCAAGAGTCACCAGGAGCAATCAACAATCAATTTAGACCCCCAGGACTTCAGATATTGTTATTACAATATCAGATACAGAAACCTCTAGAAAGTTTGAGAGTAAAAATAACTTGGCCCGGCTGCAGCTCACCCCCACCCCGCAGGGGACTCACGAGAGGCAACCACACATTGATGTTTCTCTCCCACTCTTTCTCCTTCCCTTCCCTTCTCTCTAAAAGTAAATAAATAAAATATTTTAAAAAAAAATAAATAAATAAAAAAAAAATAAAAATAACTTGGCAGACAGCCCTCCCTGGGCTGCTAATCTAGGAGAGAGAACGCAATAATCAAGCTTAAAAAGTAAAAAAAAATAGGCAGATTTAAAAACAATTCTAGAATTGACAATCATTGAAATAAATACAGCAGGTTTGATGAATCTGAAAATGAGCGAAGCATTATTACATGATTATTTATCATAGACAGAAAATAGGTCGTTCCTTCTGGAAGGTTGTTGCTGGGGGAGAAACCTTTCAAGAGTATGGAGTCCAAGAGCCTATTGACTTGCGTTTCTCAGTGGAGAGGGAAATATTTGGTACCAGATGACAATATAATCTCAGAATGAGCAAACACGCGTCCATCTATCTATAAACCCATCTTGCCCGTCTGTGCTTGTTTCTAACTGCTGGAATTTCAGGCTTGTGAGTTGGGTGTGTGTGTAGCCAAGTCCTCCCTCTAAGGGGCTGGGAAAACCAACAAACCACCACCCACCATCGGCCAGGACAGTCTCATTGCCTGGTGCCGGGTGCCCTCTAGTGGCCAAAGCCTCTGCGGTCTCCATCGACAAGCCAGACACACCCGACAACTTTCTTCTTTACTCGCCCCTTTTCTGAGCCTGCCTTTCTGCCCCCACGAATTTAGGTAACATCCTCTGGGTACTTCCTAGGAAGCTCCAGAAGTGATCAGGCCTTGGCCCCACCACCACCTACCTGCCGAGGGGCAGTCCTAGGAAGCCCTGGATAGCCCGCACTAGAACCAGGCTCCACCATGTGCTCTGTGCTGTGCTCCAGTGGCACTTTCTTGCTGCCCCATCTGCCATCCTGCAGCCGCAGAGCTCAGCACACTCCTCCCTGCGTTACAGCTGCCGAGGTCCACCTCTGAGCTGGCTTCCGTTATCAGAGGATGCCCGCGATCTCCCTCTGCACTGTTCATATTTGACAGCAAATAGCTATCAGTGCCGGGGAGAGGGTCTAGCTGTGTGACCCTTGCTCACAGAGCTTCTGTGTTCTCCATCTGTTTGGGGTGCGAATGACGCCTACACCATTGGGTTGTGCGGTGAAGTATGATCCTGTGGGAGTCACACCAGCGCCCAGGGAGGCCCTGTGAACAGAGGCTGCCATCACAACCTCCTTCTCTCTCTGCCGGTATGTGATTTCCCTGAAAATTAATCTTTATCCCAGCATTCTGCCTGGAGCCTGGTTTCTTACTGAAGTAATATTTGTTCTGAGAATAATTTGTGAAGACCCACCTAATTCTTAGTCCCTCTGTTTCACTCTGTCACAGGCTGCGTTAAATGCACTTGGTGTGCGTGTTTCTCATTGAGAGCTAGAGGCCAATGGCAGCAACCTAGACTCTGTAACACCTGGCCTGGCACTAGACCAGTCCCTAAGACAGGTTTGAATGTGTGCAGGTGAGTCACTGGCACAGGTGGGAGGAAGGTGGGGAGGCAGGTGCAGGCAATGGGTGGAAGGGTGGGGAGTGGCAGCTACTAGATGGAGCCAGGAGCTGTACCAGCTTTAGCAATCTGCCTACCCTTGACCTGGGTACTGTCATCAGCCTGGGACATTCCACCATCCCCAGCACTTTTCACAAAGCAGATGCCCAGTGGCAGTTGGTATGAGCTGAAGAGCCAACAAGAGCAGAATATTGAGGATAAGGATTGGGAAAGGTAACCCAGACCTGATGGCTTTGACCTGTTATATAAAGGCTAAGGAGGTGTTTTTGTAGTGAGGGGGGTGGGGAGCAAAGGCCAAGCGTGGATGTAACTAAGGTCGTAAATCACCCAGCTCATCTGGAATGTGTTTTATGGAGAGGAGGCTGCACATGCTAGGAGTAGGGACTGATTGATAAGGGCCTTGAATGCCAAGTCAAGATTTCAAACTTGAGCCCTGGCTGGTGTAGCTCAGTGGATTGAGCACAGGCCTGTGAAGCAAAGAGTCACCGGTTTGATTCCCAGTCGGGGCACATGCCTGGGTTGCAGGCCAGGTCCCCAGTAGGGGACACATGAGAGGCAACCACACACTGATGTTTCTCTCCCACTCTTTCTCCTTCCCTTCCCTTCTCTCTAAATAAAATATTTTTTAAAAGATTTCAAACTTGATTTTTTTTAAAGATTTTATTTATTTATCTTCAGAGGGGAAGGGAAGGAGAGAGGGAGAGAAACATCAATGTATGGTTGCCTTTCGTGCGTCCCCTGCTGGGAACTGGCCTGCAGGGAACTGGCCTGCAGCCCCTGTATGTGCCCTGACTGGGAATCAAACCACAATCGCAGGCCCGCGCTCAATCCACTGAGCTACACCAGCCAGGGCTCAAACTTGATTTTTAATTTCATTTATTGATTTTAGAGAGCGGAAGGGAAAGAGAAACATCAATTTGTTGTTCTACTTATCTAGGCATTCATTCGTTGTTTCTCCCATGTTCCCTGACTGGGGATCAAACCTGCAAGCTTGGCCTGTGGAGCCATGCTGTAACAGACTGAGCTATCCAGCCAGGGCCCAGTCAGACTTGATCCTGATACTGAAGGCAGTTCCAGGGGATGGCGGGTGGATGTGGGCATTGAAGAGTCTTAGCAAAAGGGGTGTGATCACCTTGGATGGCAATGTTTTGAAAGCCCCCTCTGGACGTTCTGTTATGGGGAATGCACTGTTGAGGGTGGGGTGGGGACAAGAAACCCAAAGAAGAGGTCACCATAGTCCTCCAAGCCAGAGATGATAGTAGCCAATTTGGGGAGCAGAGGGATGACAGGTAATGGCAGATGGAGATGAAGGGGGGCTTGCTTGAGAGAGTCAAGTACAGTGTAAAGGCCCGGGGCCACCCTCTGCCCCCACAGCTCCAGCTCAGAGCTGTGTTCCTCCTGTGGCTCCAACTCCAGCCCCCTGTCCACCCAGAAACTCCTGTCTGGCAACTGCCTGGCTGTCCACTACCTGCAAGGTACCGTTAAAACTGCCTCTGGCCTGGTCCCCCAGGCTCACCTCCAATTCCTCACACTCAGAGATTCCACCTCCTGCTCCTTTGCAGCATTCTCGCCGCCTGTCTGCCCCCCACAGCCATCCGGGGACCCTTATCCTTAACAGCTCGGAGCAAACACCGTCTTCAAGGGGCCTTCCTTCCCCAACCCGGCAGGACCCTCCCCAGCACCTCCAAGCCTTCAGCAAAGGAGGGAGGACACAGTCCATCTTATTAACTTATTTTATTGATTTTTTTTTTTAGAGAGACCAATTTGTGGTTCCACTTATGTATACATTAATAGGTTGATACTTGTATGGGCCCTGACCAGGGATCAAACCCACAACTGCGGTGTATCACAGCAACATTCCAACCTAGGAGTCACGGCCTGGTAGGCACCAGGCTGCAAGCAAAGGTGGCCTGAGCGCCACCTCCTGTTATCCTCTCCCTGTTTTTTTAAAGGTTTTAAACTTTGAAGGCTCCACAGCAGAGCGAGGCAGCAAAATCGAAGGAGCCACTGCAGAGACGTCAGCTTGAGGATTTTGGCATCTTTGTCCAGAGATGGCAGTGGGGAGTTTTTAGCTGTGAGGGTTGGCTGTGGCTGCGTTCGTAGAGAAAACAAAGGAATTAGAATACGGAGCAGAAAGACAGTTATTTCTCCTGGGTGGGCTTCTTTAACAAGGTCAGATGCTGAAACCCCCTCACGCCCACACGGAGCTGAGTGGGCTCGGTGCTGGCAGCACTTCCCTGGAGCCAGGTTTCACAGAGCCCCACCACACTCCCCGGGGCCCTGAGAAGGCTCTGGGCTTAGTCCCCAGCTCCCCTGTACACCCTTTCAGCGAGGTGGGGCCTGCAGCTAGAACCCCCAGTCAGCTGAGAGGTGCTGAAAGCACAGACCCCATTCACTCCCAGAACCAGGGCTTGTGGGGGTGAGAGGGCCCTGAATTGAGGAAAACAGGGTCAGTGGTGATGAAGTTCCCACCACCTGCAGGCAGGGGGCTTGAGATGAACGGACTGATTTCTGAAGAAAGGCTTCCTGCCCTGAGCTGTGGTCTGAGATGAAAACCAGCCCCACCACCTGGCCTGCTTGCCAAGAGAGAGACAGGACAAGACCCAGAGGTGACCACTGCCTTTGTCTCTCTGTGGGAGGCGTGGGCTGGGTTCAGAGGTATCTGGGGACAGCAGGTGACTCGACCCAAATTATTGCTACTTGGCAAGGTCACCTTGGGGCTTCACACTGTGTGCTGAGTATGGGTGGGCATGAACATGCAAATGATATGCAAATGACATGCAACCAACCCTGGGTCTTCTGGTTGTCTCTGGTGCAGTGGAGGGTGCTGGAAGAGTCAGAGGCCTGCCAGCCCAGGGAGGCGATGGGGACACCCAGGTCCTTACCCCACACTGCAGATAGATCCAGCCCACCCAGAGGGGTTGAGGTTCAGGGCAGGGTTGGGGGTCCCTGAGCATCAGTCCTGGTTCTGCTGCTGGTTGAGGAAGAACAGAAGCTCGGCCCCAAGACAGCAGGAAGAAAGCAGGGTGCCCACTAGGCAGCCAGACAGTCTGAGGCCCATCCAGAGGTGGAAGGGATCTGTCCTGGGTCGTAGAGCGAGACAGGCAAAGGGGGCCAGAATCCAGGCCTCCCAGCCAAGCAGAAGCCAGAACGCATCAGAAACCAAAGCTACAAATAAAATACACTGATAAAGAAACAGAAAGCAGGCAGCCCGGTCCCTGATCCCTGGGCTGAGAGACTCTCCAACGGCTGCTCTGGGAGGCCTCTGAGATCCAGGCCCAGGTCAGGAGCAGCAGCAACCTTGGTCTTGGTGCCGAATCGACCGGTCCAGAAGCTCCTGAAAGAGGCAGGCAGGGCCCCAAGGTCCTTGGCTAACGCAGGTCCTGGTCAGTTATTATTCATAATCCACCAGGAGGCTGGGGGTCAGAGGTTGGGGGTCAGAGGCCATTAGGGGCCCACTGACCCTCCTCAGGTCCCAGGGCTATGGAGAGGGCCAGGGCTTCAGCACACCTGGGAAGAACACAGTGGTGAGGGTGTCCGGAGCCCGAAGGTGGTCAATGAGGATTCGGTGGAAGGCCTTACTGCAGGCAGACTGCTGGTGCCTGCGGAGAGCCATGGACTGGGTCTGGGCTGGTCCCCCGAAGATCAAGGCCACCTGGTTAAGAGCTCCCCACTCCCTCCCCAGTCCTGCTGCCTGGATTCAGACCCCAGTTCTTCCTCACACTGTGAGCCTCAGTTTTCTGCTCTGTGAAATGGGACAACAGCATCTACTGTACTGGGAAATTGTGAGGGTTACGTGCAGTAACACGCAAGTACTTCGCATAGGATGTGACACAGTGGTGAGAGTGTATGTGCATTGAGCACCTACTGTGTACCTGGCTCTCTGTTCAGTTCTTTACACATCATCTCATTCAGCTCAAATGAGGATGGAACTGTTATCACTCCCATTTTGGAAAGGAGGTCACCAGGGCTCAGAGGGATGAAGTAACTCTCCTGACGTCACAGGAGAAGAGGAGAAGAATGAATAGGAGGAGAGGATTGGAGCCCAGCCCTGACTTACTCCAGAGCCCATACTCTATAAACATTAGCAGTTTGGCCACCATTCTCACCTTCTCCAGGAGGCCTCGTCCTGCCAGAACTCGTACAGGGTGAAGGAGGCACTGTCGAGCATCTTCTGGGCAGAAACACTGTAGAGCCAAAGATGGCCAGGCTAGGGGAGGCCTGGGCTGCCACCACCACTGCCCAACCCAGACAGGGGTTGCCAGTGGGAGCCCTGGCCCCAGAAGTCCAGCTCTGACGCTCCTCCCTGCTCATCCCCCGACCTTGGCCGGCCCACCAGATGACTAGGGACTCACTGCAGGCAATGGCTCTGGGACTCCGTGAAGTCCACGTAGCAGCTCAGGGCTCGGTGGAAGTCCTGCAGGGCTTCTTCTGCCACCTGCACCTGCCTCTGGGCCACGAGGATATGCTGGCAAGGGAGGCAGCCCAGTTACCTCGGTGGGGCAGGACACGAGTGAGGGGCTGGCTGCAGCCTCCAGGGGGACCCTGCCCCAGGCTGGCCCCTGGAGACATCCCTGACTGCATCCCCTCTCCCTATCCCCAAGGTCACTACCTTGATCCAGCCATTGTTCCCCTCTCCTGCAGTATGCCTCCACTTCTTACTGCCCCTCCAGCCTCCACCCACACCACCCAGACCCGGCCTTCAGAAACACAGCTAAGGGAAACTGATGCTCAGAGAGGGGCAATAATTTCCGCAGGATCACAGAGCAAGGACCACAAGCCAGCACCTGCCTGCCAGGTCTGGGGGAGAGCGCTGGGCCAAGCTGGGAAAGGACACACCTATGCAAGTGGAGGCCCGGTCCACAGCTGGCCCCGTGAGCCCCCCTTCATGACAGCCAGCCCCTGACACCCGGCTATCTATCCCATTCCCAGGCTCACCGAGTCAAGCCCCCTGGTAAGCTCCTCTTCACGTAGGGGTTCCAGCCTCGGGGACTGTGAGGGACAGAGAGTGTGGGCCCGGCTCCTGGCACGTGGCCGTCTTGGACAGATTCCAGGAAGGTCCACCCCCACGGGCCATTTGGACGCTCACCTTGCACTCCAGCTGGTCAATGAGCTCCTGGAGACGGTTGACCTGGAGCCGCCACTGCATCTCAGCCTCCGAACTCCGCCCTGGATGGGGGGGCAGAGGCTGGAGGCAGTCGGGCTGGGGGGTCTCTCGGGGTGAACCGAAGGGCAGCGAAGGAGCAGGCACCAGGGCACCGCTCCAGACCCTCCTCGGCCAGCCCCCCGGCCCACCGCAGGCACACCTGTGTCAGAGGAGCCAGGAGACCACGTGGGTGACCGAGTGATGCTCCGCGAGCCCCTGCGCCCTGCCCGCCGGCTGCCGCGGGGCCTGCTCTGCACCTCCGCTCTCTCTCCATCTGACCTAAGGGGAGTGAAGGCTCAGTCCCCTGCTGGCAGGCAGGCCCTCAGGGACCCCCAAACAGAGCGAGGCCAGGGTGGGGTAAGACAGGCTCCAAGGGACATGCCAGCCACCCTCTCACGCATTCTTGGGCTCCCTGCCCCAGAACAAGAATTTGGGCTCCATGCCCTGACTGGTTCAGCTCAGTGGGTTGGTTGGGTGTCATGCTGAAAACCAAAGGGTCACCAGTTCGATTCCCCATCAGGCCACATGCCTGGGTTTCAGGCCAGGTTCCAGGTTGGGGAGTGCAAGAGGCAACTGATCAATGTTTCGCTTTCTCCCTCCCTCCTACTCTCTCTCAAAATAAAGTAAAATCTTAAAAAAAAAAAAGAAAAAGAACTTGGGCTCCAGGCTGCTGAAACTCCAGACTGAGATCAAAGCTAAGGGACTGGGAATGTGGAGATAATGGGTGTTCTCAAAGTGGCCCACAGGCGGCAGGGCTCCTCACATACCGTGGCCCCTGGGCCTGGGCCTGGGCCTGGGCCTCCAGGGTGTCTGATGCCCCCTCCAGAGAGCTCTGCAGGGCCTGCAGCTGGCTCACCGTCTCCCGCAGTAGGAAGCGGGTCACAAACTGGTCCACCTTGGAGGCCTGCTCGTACTCCTGGGGGCAGAGGGCACAGTCGGCACACCGAGGCCCGGAGCACATCTCTCTGAGTGGGGAGCCACTGTCCCGCTCCCCCGCCAGCTCCCCGTCAGAGCAGCAGTGGCCTGCGGACCGGGCATCAGCAGGAGGGCACAGGGACCGGGTGGGAGCAGGGCCTGGCCTCCCTCCCGGGAATACGAGGCCAACTTAGAGGGAGGCATCCATCTGTCTTTCTCTGGCCCCAAGACCACATCCACACTGGGACCTCCACCTTCAGCTAGTGAGGCCTCTGCACAGTTAGGTGGGGAGGTTGGGGGTGGGGCAGGTCACAGGACAGCCAAAGACCTATTTTGACATATGAGGCAAAATGATGGTGTGGTGTGCCCCATATTCACCGGCTGACCACAGATACACTGTCTGTGTATGCCTGCATTCATTCATTCACTCATCCGTGTGACATTTACTGAGCACCTTTTACTAGGAGCTGCAAACAGAAGACGGCCAAGTTACTGTCACAACACACTCACACCAGCTCATGTAACCAGCCTTTCCTATTCCCTCCCAAGGGCAGGAAGGTGGCGGGGGGGGGGCAGACCATGCACCAGGCCCTCAGGAGCTGTCGTCCAAGGACCTGCTCTCGATCTACAAGGGGCCCCAGAGACACCATCCATCCATCGTCCACCATCCATGGGTTTGTCTCCTGCCTATGACCTGCCTCAGTTCAGCCATCAGATGGTCCCTGCTGGGCAGGCTTGTGAGAAGGTTTAAGCCAGGGAAGCAAGGACAGAGAGGAGGATGGGCCCTCTCATTCTCAAACAGGCTAGTGGTTCCTGTCCTCTGTCCAGACTTTTGTCCTACCCGAGTCTTCTTAGCCACACTCAGAGCTCTCTAAAATCCTTCCAAAAATTCCCTTTGGGGCACTTAAAATGAGTGGTCAGCCCTAGTAGTGTGCTGGTCAGGGGATTGAGCGCCGGCCTGTGAATCGTCACTGGATCGACTCCCAGTCAGGGCACATGCCTGGGTTGTGGGCCAGGTCCCCAGCTGGGGGTGTGTGAGAGGCAACCAATCCATGTTTCTCTTCCTCTCTTTCTCCCTCCCTTCCCCTCTCTCTAAAAATAAATGAATAAAACCTTAAACAAAAGTGATTGGTCAGCTGCTGTCCCTTGCAACCAAAGAACCCTGCTGATACAAGCACCCACTCCGTGCCAGGCCCTGTTTCAAGCAGAATGTCAGTAAATCCTTGTAACAACAATTTGACCCCATTTTGCAGATGAGAAGACTGAGAGGCCCAGAGCAGTTAATTACCTTGGCCAAGGTCATGCAACTAGTTAGTGACAGAGCCAGCATTGAAACTCAGGCCACAGAAATTCCTCTGCTCTCATCACTAAGCACCGTCACTACTGCAACCCGGCCCAATAATGAAACATCACCTCACTTATGAGCACTAGGCCTGAGCACGCACACACCAGACAAAGATCACGGCCCTGCTGCTGTTAATGTACTTGGGGCTGCAGGAGGCGGGGCCCTGTGTGGTTTAGGGAACGCGGGCGGGACTAGTGCAGGGAGCACGACCAGGGCTGCCCTGGGCCGACAGCGCCAGGTGGCCGAGAAAGAGGCCGACTCTACCTAGGTGTGTACACTCAAGTGGCACCGTTGCCCTCACACTTGGCTCTGAGCCTCCGGCCTGGATGCCCAGTCCCCTGACCTCCAACCCCCGCCCCAGCCCAATAAAGAGTACACAGCAACCCAGGCTCCTGCGAGTTTTGTCTGAGGTGTCTGGGTGCCAGGGCGAGACAGGGGTGGACAGGCAGATCGAGGACTGAGCAACAGCCATAGTCTGGAGCCAATCGATTTCTCTTTCCTTGTGACCCAGCGGTCAGAACCCTGCCCCTGGAAAGGAGGACACCCTACCACAGTACAGAAGGGAGGCTGTTCCCCCTTACCCCTACAACTCCAGGCCTAGGCCATACCTTGCCAGGTCTGTAGGCCCAAGGTAGGTGAGCTTGGGTGAGCCCAGTCTTGGCCATAATGGGAGGAAAGGCCTGCTTCAGCAGAAGCACAGCGTCTCCAAGAGTCTCTAGCATCCACATATCCTCCCCGAGCAGAAGGAGGGTCCCAGGCAAACAGCCACCACCTTGGAGAAGAACCATGAGAATCCATTTTGTCAGCAGAGGTGGGGCTCGAGACTCATTCTGCCTGTGAAAGCTTCCAAGAGGAACCGGGGTTCCTGGGCCTCTTGACCTCTCACCGCTATCCCGCTCTGCCTGGGAACCCACAAGGCAACTCAGCCACTCATCTCCCAGCCTACCCTGCCCCATCCCCTTCTCCACACTGTAGCCCAAAGCTTCTTCAAAACCACTTATCTATCTATAGGACAGCTCACTCTGCCTATACTTTCGCACTGGTTCTCCATTGTGCACAGGGAAACACCAAACCTATTACTGAAATGCAGTCCCAGCCCCCAATGTGTCTTCTCCTCCAGGTCTTCTCAGGGACGTCTACCCTCGCCCCTGCTCTGACCATGTTGCCACTTGTGGTCTCCAGTGTGAGGCTCCCCTCCCACGAGAGGCCCAGCACATTTTCTGTGCGAAGCTGCTGTTCTTCCCTATCCTGGGTCCCAAACCCAGTTCCAGAACCTGGAGCCTCCGCAGCCCTTCCCAATCTGCAGCCTGCCTTCCACTGGTGACCAAGCTTAGAATGACTCTTCTGGGGGCAGATGCAGCAGGTGAAGGTCCCAGCTCGCTAAAGTTGCAGGTCGAACTTCTGCTAAAGATGCACTTTTGTCACCATGAACGTCCCCTCCACAAGTGTCATACTAGAGGTTGCACAGCCCATAGCACCACTCCTGATGCTTGTAAGAACTGACGCGTCCCTATTATCCATGATAAGTCAAGGTAACTGTGTTCTTCAGTGTGGCCACGAGCCACTGGCCCGAGCCAGTAGCAGCCCCTTCCCTGGGATGGTACAAATCAGGATCTATATGAACATGCAAAGGCCGAAGCCAGTCTTCAGAATAGAAACAGTGCAGAGTCACTGCACATCCTAGATTCCCCACAGCCCTGCTTCCAGTCTGTTCCTGAGGCCTGATTTCACCCTTGCCTTTGGTATTCATAACACATACAAGGTCCTTGTATAATAATATCCTTATTTTAACTCACACTCATGTGAGTGGGTCTTCAACTTGCAACCAAATGGTTACAAAAGAGAATAGTGAGACTCTGTAGAGGCCAAAAGTGGCCTCTTTTCTGTGTGTGTGTGTGTGTGTGTGTGTGTGTGTGTGTGTATTACTATTGGAGGGGAGAGAAACTGAGCTCAGAGATTAGCACTTGCTTGCACAGTGAGTCAGCTTCAGATCTGAGTCACAAAGTCAGGCCCACAGGCGGGTCCATAGGTGGAAGCCCCTGAAGTTGAGAGCAGCTCTGTGGGCGGCCTGGGCCCCTCAGAGATTAGCACACAGGCACTCAAAGTGGCTGTAGATCTGTGAGTGGGAGGTTTCTTTTCAGCATCGAGATGGGAGGAGCCCCACAGTAGGCCAGAGCACATCAGATAATCCGAAGTGGTTTGGGAAAGGAATCAGATTGGTTGTGCTGGGAAGCTGCAACCAGACCCCTGTCCCAGGGGAGAGGATGGGTCCAGGGCGTTTTCATTGGAGGAGAGGGCTGCGGAAGCACAGCAGGTGCTGAGGACTGAGGTCACAATGAGATCCAAGTTCTTTTCCCTCTTTCTCTGACGACCGGCTCCCATCTCCACAACCAGGAACTACTTCCGGCAAGCTTAGGTGAGAGGTCCAAGACGCTGCCTGGGCTCAAGGACTAGCCTGGACTTCTGGGTCCCTGATGGGGGGACCTGCAAGGGCTGAGGGCGCGCAGCCGCAGAGCAGAGGCCAGTCAGTCCTCAGAGGGTGGGGCCAAGTGCAAGATTGAGCCTGAGGTGGACGGGAATGGCAAGTAACTGCAGGAGCCCAGAGAGAGAGAAAACTCACGTGAGCCAGAGGTGGGGGCTGCAGGCCCAAGGGCGGAGCCAAAGCCTAAGAGACGTCCACTCCCGCCAGAAAAAGTGATCCTCAGGATCAGAGGGCGGAGCCAAGAATCGAGAGAGTACTGATCTAGTCCAGCAAGGTAGGGCTTTAGGCCCAAGAGGAGGAGGCAAGAGCTTAGAGGCAGGCCTTCCTCTAGGCCTGCGGGGGAGAGAGAACCGAGCCTCTGGGGGCGGAACTGAGCCAGGAAGGTGGCGTCGGTATCTGCGCTCAGGAGCCGCCGGGTCCACCGGCCGCTCTCGCAGGGCCACATCGCTGTGGTGGTGGACCAGGGCTCGGGCTTCACCAAGGCGGGCTTCGCAGGAGAGAGCCAGCCGCGTCTCGTGCTGAAGAGCTCCAGCCTAGTGCCCAGCTGGGACCGGCCTGTGCTGCCTGGAGCTCCAGGCTGTGAGCTGGCGGGCGGCGTGGCTCGGGCGCACCCCATCAAACATGGCGTGGTGGTGGACTGGGAGGCGCTGGAGGGGCTCTGGGAGCGCCTGCTGGTAGGTGGTTTGCGGGTGTGTCCAGAGCAGTGGCCAGTGCTGGTGAGCGATTCGCCGTCGGCGCCACCCTCAAACCGCGAGAGGGTGGCTGAGCTGCTGTTCGAGGCTCTGGCAGTGCCTGCGTGCCACATGGCGAGCACTGGGTTGCTGGCTCTGTGCTCCACGGGTGCGTTCAGTGGGCTGGCCGTGGAGGCAGGCGCGGGTGTGTGCCACGCCACACCCATCTATGCGGGCCACTCATGGCACAAGGCCACCTTCCGGCTGGACGTGGCAGGCAGCACCCTGTCACGCTACCTGCGGGATCTGCTGGTGGCAGCATGTCCGGATCTACTGCTGCGGACCATACCCCGAAAGACCATCACACAGCTCAAGAAGCGCTGCTGCTACGTGTCACTGGACTTTGAGGGTGACCTGCATAATCCTGCCCGCCACCATCCAACCAGCTTCTGCTTAGGCAACGGCTGCTCTGTCTGCCTCAGCAGTGAGCGCTTCCGCTGCCCTGAACCCATCTTTCAGCCTGGTCTGCTAGGCCACACTGAGCCAGGACTGCCCAGACTGGCCTTCTGGGCACTGCAGAGACTGCCTGGAACACTGCGGAAGAGGCTGGCTGACACTGTGGTGGTGGCCGGCGGCTCCACACTTTTCCCTGGTTTCACTGAGCGCCTGGAAAGGGAGCTGGAAGCCCAGTGCCAGCAGAATGGCTGTGGGGCACTGCAGCCACACCTCGTGGCCAAGCCTGGGCGCGGTACAGCAGTATGGACAGGTGGCTCCATGGTGGCCTCATTTCACAACTTCCAACGCCACTGGATGACCCGGGCCATGTACCAGGAGTGTGGCTCCAGGCTGGTGCATAAAGTCTTTGACTGAGTCATACTGGACAGGAAGAGCTGGTGCTACCAGGGGGCCGCAGAGGCGGAGGCTTAGTGGGCTGAGCTGAAGCTCTATCAGAGGCATAGAGTGCCAGATAAAATTCTCAGATGACGGGAGTTGGCAGTCATTGTGTGGTGATGGGTCACCCCCTGTCCCTTTCTGGGCCAGAAGGAGGTGGTCTGGTTCCTCCTGTGACCTGCAGTTTCAACTCCCCCTAACTAGGGCCAGCTCAGAGATTGCCTCTTCAGCTTTGCCATGGAAAAGCTGAAGGCCCTGTTTCCATGGCAATAAGGAAGATGATGACCATACTTGTGTATAGGTCACAGATACAGGAGCTGCTGCAACATGCCAACCCCTCATACTGTGCCATTCAGATTCCCATTCCATGCCAGACCCCAAGGAGTGACCCTTTGAAAAGCTACTATATCCCATATGACAGCAACCAGAGGGGCAGCCCTGTCCTCAGCTGATCATGGACTGGCTGAGAATGTCAGTGAAAAATCCCCAGCTTGCTCACTACTCCCTCTTTGCCCCTTTATTAAGAGCTGTGGGCCAAATGGAGACATCTCTTAAAAGGAATACATAAAGGCAAGGGCAGCTTACAGGTTTTTTGAAGTCACCACACAAAGGTATGAAGCCATGGCCGTGAGCACTGTTTATGCTTGTGCACACACGTCCCCATATGCACGCCTGCCTACTCCCAAACGTGCTCCGGCCGGGTCCTGCCCCCACTAGGCGCTGCACACCAGTGTGGGCCTATGGACACACACGAGTACACCACACCCCAGGCCATCCCTACTGGGTCCTGGGCTCGATGTCCCATAATAGTTCTGGCCAATCATAAAAACAGTAGAAGCAGCATCCCCAGGTATTAAGCACCTACTGTGTGCTAGGCATAGTTCTGGGTGTTGAAGAGAGAACAAGACAAACAAAATCCCTGCCTTCATTCTCATTTAATTGTCACAGTGTATGGAGGCAGACTCTATTCTTACCCCCAGCTTACAGATGAGGGAACTGAAGCCCAGAGAGGAAAAAGTGCACAAAGTGGGAGAGCCAGGACTTGAACCTACCTCTCCAGGTCCATAGCCCTAAGGCAGTGGAGGCTCGCACATCACAGCAGACACCCCCATGCTCATTTTGGGCCCTCCACCCACCCTATCAGCTCTTTCACTCACCAGTTTGGTGGTGTCCATGGCAGTGAGCACTGCACGGTTCAGGGACTCCAGCGCAGCCAGCACAGGCCGGTAGACGCCCAGGTGTTCTGAGAAGTAGTCTGTGGGCAGAGGGCGTGTGCCAAGGTTCTGCCCTCCTCCCGATCTACCCAACCCAGAACTCATCCGCAGCCAACCGGGCCTCATACTGTGACCCCAGCCCACCCTACTCAGGAGACCAGCGACCAACCCTCACCACACCGCCTGCCCAGAAGTCCCAGGAGACAAGAGCTCCCGTGGGCCTACTCACCACACAGCTTCTCCGTTTCCAAATTGCTGCAGGGAAAGAGAAGGTGCCCTTCAGCCTGTCACATTTGAGCCTGGTGAATTGATACTTCGAAGTCAACATTCCTCTCCCCTTCCACCCCAGCTCAGTCTGACAAGGTGGCAACTCCCGCCTCTCCTCCAGGTTAAGTTGCTCAGTGGGCAGACATTGGGGGGGGAGGGGCAGGGAAAGGCTACTACTGCCTCATTAAACACTCTCTGAGGGCCAAAACTCTTCGCCTCCAAGGATATTTCAGGCCTAGAGAAACAGCTGTGGACACAGGCCAGAGAGGAGTGGTCAGAGCTGAGAAGGGAAAGCCAGGGCTCCGAAGGTACAGAGGAGGCATGGGGCAGGGCTTCCCGGAGGAGTGGCTGCCTGTGCCAGGCCTTGAAGAACAAGGAGTTTCACTGGACTATCTTGTCGGGGGGAGTTCAAAGGGTCCAGCCCAAGCCTCAGGATGGGGGCTTGGGGGAATGGGAGCCCTGAATGTTGACCCAGGGTCTCAAATTTATTCTAAGGAGATGAGGGGGGAAGGGAAGTGAGAGGGAGGGACAGCTGTGTACGTGCTGTACGCCTGTGAGGGGGCATGGGGAGGAAAGCGTGCAAACCCATGCTAAGGCCTGTAGATGTGGGAGCGCACGTGGGGAGGTGTGTGTGTGTGTTCATGCACCTGCATCCATGGGCCCAGCAGGCAGGGCCCAGCTGTCCCTGGGCATCCTCTGATCCCTGCAGCAAGCGGGACTGGGGGGGTGCGTGTGGGCTGAACCATGGTGGTGACTCAGGCCTGGCTATTTTAGGGTCCCAGTTGGAAGCAGTGTGATGGGCAAGGCTGGAGCCAGGGAGGTGGTGAGTGGGCGGGAAAAACTTGGCACTAGGATTTGGCACCCCTCTCCCTGCCTCCTCACTCCTCCTGTCCTCCATAAGGGACCGAAGCAGTAGGGGACCCAGTGGGGTACAAACAACCAGGCCTTACATCTTTCCACGGCTCTTCCTTCTCCCTCTTTGTACTCACTCGGTAGAATGCCCATCAATGCCGCCAAACAGCTCTCGCAGCTCCCCAGGGCTGAGGACCCCATCGGCAAAGTAATTCTGGAATTCCTCAAATGAGAGCTTACCATCATCTGACAGGTGAGCAGGAAGCAGAGTCAGTATCTTTGACCTCTGGCTGCACCCCACCCACCAGGTCCAGGTCCCCCAAAGGCTTCATAGCGTCTTTTCATGCCCACCCAGCCAGGTAGAATGGGATTCTGAGCTTGGTGGGGGAGCTGGCTGTTGGGGACAAAAGGGCCAGAGCCTCCAGAAATGCCCACTTAAGGCAACAGAGACCACTTTGCCTGCACCCAAGAGACAGGGCATTACACACACGGAATTGGGTAGGGACAAAATAAATATTTGCCGTGTGGGGGAACAAATGAACAACAGCCTGGGACACAGCCAGATCATGGCACAGTCTAGACATCTCTTGGAGAACTTGGGGGCTGAGACTCTGCCCCACATGCTGGCCAGCCTGGCCCCAGGGTAGAGGGAACCTTTGTGCTGTGGACCCAGGCCCTCTCCTAAGAAGACACAGGGAGGCTGATGAGACCTTCCTAAAGGTTAGAGCCTCTGTAAGAAGCAGCAGGCTGCTCTATCTGCTGTGGCTCACTTGGTTGGGCATCATCTTGCAGAGCGAAAGGTCACCAGTTCAATTCCCAGCCAGGGCACATGGCTGGGTTGCGGGTTTGGCCCCCGGTTGGGGGCTGTGTGAGAAGCAACAAATCGATGCCTCTCTCCCTCTCCTTCTCCCTCCCTTCTCCTCTCTGAAAAAATAATGAAAAAAAGAAAGAGAAGCAGCAGCAGGCTGGCCCCAGAGAGAATGACCTCCTGGTCATGGGGCCTGCAGCAGAGGCCGAGAGCAGGTGGCTAAGGACGTTGGGGGTCTGGCCTGTAAGGTCTCTAAGCAGGGGGATCAGACAGAAAGCTCTGATCCAAGTGAGACTCTGCATCTTGGTCAGTGGGGTGGGACTGGTCTCCACCAATTTGAAGAGACCCAAGGAAAAGAGCCAAAGGGTGGGGACACAATCCAATCTCAAGGAGGCTGAAACATAGGAAGGTCTGAAGACCCCAGACAGAGGCCTCAGCTCAGACCCTCACCTGGTCAGTCAGGGTACACTGGGCTGTTCCGGGTCATCTGTGGGCAGGAACCTGCTTGCTCACAGGGTGCCCTGCTCTCAGTTTCCCCAGACCAGGGTCTGAGACTGCCCAGAACCCGGGGCAGACAGAGCTGACTCCCTGGAGCCAGCTTTCTCATGCTGAGGCCCTCCCTGGGTCCAGACGGTTGGTCGTATGGAGAGTTACTGAATCCTCTAAAAATGTAAAAGTAAAATCCCCCACAGGGCCTCGTCTCTATTAGCCCGCACTTCCCAGCCTCTCACACAGGAAGCCTGGGACCAAGAATCACGCAGACCTGGGTTCAAGGTCCACCACTTATAGGCTGTTACCTCAGGCAACCAGCTTCACCTCTCTTGGCCCCTACTCCTTCGTCTGTGAAATGGGGTGAAGAACACGAGGTCATATGCAGGGAGGTACCCACCACTGTGCCAGGGCAGTGAATGAAAGCAAGCCTCTACTTTCAGCCTCTTGCTAAACCACATTCCCTCCACTCCCTCCTGCCAAACCTGGCTCAAAGCAACACTTCCTCTGGGAAGGATGCCTTGATTGATTCTCTTGATTTGAATCCCCCAAGATTTTTCTCCATTCTAGACTGCACCCCCAACCCCCACCCAGCTTCTGTGATGTCCCCAACTTCTCCCTCCCCCCACTGTGGGACTCAGGGGAAGCCACACTCACCATTCTTGTCTGCTCTTCGAAAAACCTAGAGGATGAAGGGAGATGGATGGGAACTGAGTGGGGTCTGGGAGGTAAGAGGCCCCCCACCCAACTCAACCGGGCTCCAGCTGGCTAGCCTGCCCTGTGCCTCGCCTTTCCTCCTGCCCAGTCAGCCCTGCAGGAGCTCTCCAAGGCGGGGAGCAGAGAAAGAGCACACAGCAGGTCCAACTGCCTGCTCACTTCTCCTGCGGGGCCTGGCCTCTGGGGGGTACTCTAGGCCAGCTCCCTATACCCCCCATCTCCCACACTGAGTCCATCCCGATTTCTGTCTGCTGCATCAGCCCTTGGCACAGTCCCAGCTTGAGGAAGGTAGGGAGTTGGGCCAAGATGTGGCCTAAGAATCCTGGGCAACTCTCCCAGACCTGAATCCTCAACTCTGCAGTGTGGCCACAGTCCATCCCAAACTCTGCCCATCCTTGTGAGCCTGTCCTTCCTTTGCGGGTGCCTAGGTTCTTGGCCTAGGACGTGGGAGAGCAGACTGGAGTTAACCCTTCCAGGACCGGGGCTTGCCCTGAGGCTGACTCAGTGTGCGTGTACATTTGTGCATGCAGGGGGCAGTGAGGGTCATGGTAGGAAAGGGTGAACTGTATTTAAGGAGAAGCAAAGGTAAAGAGCAACAGAGGCAGGTAAACAGAGGAGCAAAATTAAGACATGGTCCTGCCTCTCGCAGTCACCCAAAGCCACCCAGTAAAGGAGACCAGCAGCCAGGCAAGGGTGGGCATGCCAAAGCCTGGACAGAGCCCCTCTCCACTCCAGGCCCTAAATGCCACTCCCCTCTTGCTGTTTTCTCAGTGCAGGTGAGGCTCAGGAATGAAACTAACTACTAAACCAGAAGCCTGACTCAGAGAAGGTCCGCCACTGGCTTGAGGTCAGACAGCAGCTGATGTGGCCTGGCTGGGGCAGACAGAGATACTGGGGGTGCTAAGCCGGGAATGAGGACACCAGGGGCAGCTTTTCCATCTGGAAAGTGGGAGGGTCAGGTCCCTTTCTAGCCAGGACTGTGGTCAAGGTGCTGTCACTGGGGGGTAGTGGGGAGGGGACAGGAGTATGGCCTTTCCCACAGGCAGGAACCTCTAGGGATGTGAGTATGGATCAGCCCATCCAGGGATAGAGTATTGCAACTGCTCCTGTGATCAAGTGTTGATAACCTCCACCCCGCCAGAAACATAGATGGGGTGGATTCGGGGGGCAGGGAGCACAGGGGGAGTGACACCATACCGAAGACAAGGAGGTGAGAAAGAATGAGGGACAGACGAGACAGAGGCAACGGGGTAAGGAAGGGAGAACGGACACAGCAGAGTCGGGGAGAAACATAGTGAGAGAGGCAGGGCCCCAAAGAGACCTGGAGGGAGTGACACTGACAGAGACAGGGAAAAGGCTGCAAGAGACAAGCCAGTAAAGAAGATACGAGACCAAGCTCGGAGAGACAGGGAGAGGTAAGACCTGGAGAGAGCCTGCCAGACACCGTGAACCCCCAGGGCCGGAGAGCCAACGCCCCCTGCCCGCTCCACACTCACATCCTGGAACAGCGCGTGCCCCGCAGAACCCGTGGCTGGCGTGGGGAGCCTCGGGGACTGAGGCGCGGGCTGCTGGATCAAACACACAGTGAGTAGTCCCGCGCACGCCATGGCGCCACCACCGCTGGGGTCCAGCCGTGCTGAAGATCCCGGGATCTAAATACACTGCCTCGCCGCAGCCGGGGACTGAGGAAATTGGGAGGGGCACCCACCTATCGGCGCCGGCGCAAACCCCAAGGCCCCGCCCCTAGAGCTCTGCCCCCTGCCAACAGCGGCTGAGACTCCTCCCCACTGTCTGGGGAGTCCTCCACAGGCCCCCGCTGGGCTCTTTCCCAGTCTGGCAAAGGGAAACAAACTGGTTAGAAAGAGATGCAAAATGGGGACGCCTAGCCTTTTCTGTCACCAGAGGCTTGGCCACTGCTAGGGAACCACGCAAGGAATCTTCCCCACCAGGGACTAGCCAAGAAAATGCCTCGGCCTGGGAGCACTACACAACCAGGAATAGGTGAGGGGCTGCACAGGCCCACCAAGGCCAGGTCCCACACCATTGTAGGCTCAGCAAACCACAGAGCAATACTGACACCTGGTTTAAAGTGACCACCTCTGAGCATCTGTATCCCCTTTGCAAAATGGGGGTAATAAAAGGGCTCCAAAATCTACCTGAGGGTTTGTTAAACAGGTCTGTGTAGACAACCTCCCCGTCTACCCACCCCTCTGCCATTCTGGCCCTTCCACCCATCCTTCGCACAGCAGCCAGTGGGAGCTTCTAATATACAAAGCTAGACATTACTCCCCAGGCTCATCAGTGAGTCCTTGGCCACTGAATAAATAGCCTGCCTGAATTTCTCTGGTCCACACACCAGATTCTGTACCTTGTTCCCTCCTGGCCCAAGGCCTTTGCCCACTCTGCCCTCCGTTTCATGTTTGTTTTCACCGTTAACCATTTATAGCTCTCAGCTCACGCACTTTCAGGAAACCCTCCCTGATTGTTTTTAAGAATTTTATTTATCTTTAGAGGGAAAGGAGTGGAAAAGAAACATCAAGGTGGGGTTGCCTCTCATGTGTCCCCTGCTGGGAACTGGCCTGCAACCCAGACATGTGCCCTGACTAACCGTGGTTGTTTGGTTTGAGGGCCCACACTCAATCCACTGAGTTACACCAGCCAGGGCCCCTCCCTTATTTTGAGTCTCCTCCAGACCCTGAAAGCCCCATGATGGGAGGAATCTGAAAGATACTGACACAACTGGCTGGTGGTGATTATTTGTTGTGTGTTTACAAATGTCCAGAAACATCTAGAAGGAACGTTGTGGAGTACCTGTTTGGGGCTGGGGAAAGGTGAGTTCCCATATTACTTTATTAGATCATTTTTAAACTAGGATAAAACTGGTGAAGCCAACCTTTTCTTCTGGCTGTGAAACTCAAGAGATAGAAAACTAAGCAGACAGGGAGAAGGGGAGGAGAGAACGGGCATTTCCCCCAGCAATCTTGACCTTTTTCACACCTAGATTTGCTCCCAGAACAGTCCCAAAACCCAGACAAAACACCATCAAAACATTTATTAAAACCAAAGCAGGAGGGAACAGAACTGTTAGGAAGGCAAGTCAAAGTGCAGATTGGAGGGTGGGGCAGAGCAAGAAGTGAAGTGGAGGGGGCACTTCAGATGCCACAGGAGGGGCCCCTGTGGGCTGGGCTTGTCGGGGAGGCCTTTCACCCACCCCTCCTGCCCACCCTGTCAGTGAAGGTCCCCCACTCACCTCTCCCATCTCACATCCATCAGGGTGGGCAGCTGGAGCCCTGCAGTGATCCCTTGGCAAGGGACCACCCCCTTGATCCACCCATGGCTGTCAGTCAGTCAGTCAGTCTGTCTCCCTCCCTCACTTTCCCAATAAATAAAACCGCTCAGGCCTCAGCTCCTTCAGAGTGGGACAAAGAACCATTCAGAGACCCCTGCTCACCCAGGGGTGTAGGAAATTAGGACACCAGCCTCACATCCCTCCTACCCTTTGCTGGTGCCCCAAGCTTGCCAAAGAGGCCTTGATAAATAAATAACGCTCCATTAAAGCTTCGATCAGAAAAACCTTTAAGACAACAGAAGTGCTCTCACTGTCCTGCAAACAGCAAGCCAAGGCCTTACCACCTGGCCTGGTCAGCATGCAGGATTCTGGGGGCAGGTGGCCACCCTGGGCCTTCTGGGGCCCCTGGAGCAAGGAGACCAAAAGTGCAGTTAGAGCCCCCACCACACGCACACATGGACTCATGCACACACATGTGGACACACTGGGGCGTGTTTTCAGTGCACGCACAGATGTGTTCACCTTCATTCCCCGGTTCATGCACACACATGCTTACACACCACTCACCCTGTGTATACACATGTTGGGTGCTGGGTGCATGCACATACACACCACAAACAGAATCCTTCCCTTCCTGGCTTGCTCCGCCTCTTAGCAGTAGCCAGACCCCAGAGCTAGAAGCTTCTGGAGATAGGGGAAAAGGGTATAAGTTAAACATTTCCAATCAGGCTAGGAGGACGGCTAGGAGCAGGGGGCTCCAGGACTGCAGAAACAGGGTGGGCACCTCAGGAGGCCCCAGTCTCTGTAAGCCCCATCAGAAATCCAGGGGGGTGATGTCCCCAAAATCACAGTCAAAGAGGTCTTTGATGCCCTCGCCCTCCTCAAGGCCAAAGTGGTAGTCGAGGGCCCCATGGGGGGGAGACAGGCTGATGAACTCTTCAGGGAGGAGGTTGGAGAAGTCCTCCCGCACATGCTCCAGGAGTGAATCGGCCGCCACCAGTGGGGACAGGTGGTCCTCGTCCATGGGGGCCCGTAGGCCGCCCGTCCGGGAAAGCAGAGGTTCTGGGGAGATGGGGGAGCATCACAGGCCGGGGATGCCCCAGCAGGGAGGGCAGAGGGACTGTTATGCCACCCACCCACCTTTCACCCACTCACCCCTCACCTACCTTGCTCCAGGCTGAGCAGGGACTGGCTGGGATCCGTGTCAGGGATTGAGTGGGGGGATGATGATGGTGGCACTGTGGTGGCAGGACCAGCTGTCCTATCCTCCTCGCCAGAGGCTGCTCCCTGGGACGGGGTCTTCCCAGGGCTGATCCCACCGGCACTTTCCTCAGGGCACAGGAAAACATCGATGGGGCCCTGTTTGCTCTTAAGGGAGATCTGAAAGGTCTGGGTGGAGGCAGCAGGCAGGGTAAACTGAGGCTCTGCTGACCACCACCTCCCTCTCCCTATCTTGGTTGGGCTGAGGGACCCACGTCTCACCTCTGAGGAGTCCACGGCTTGAAGTTGGGTCTCGGGAGGGGCCTTGATTACCATGACCATCTGCTCTGCAGGGTCTGCAATGCTACGAAGGTCCTGGCAAGTCACATAGGCCAAGGTTGGTGGAGTCAAGAGCCATATAACCTTTGATCTCTAGGAAGCCACCCACTTAGCTAAGACAGAGCCCACACTCGCTTAGTTAATCCAGTCTTCTCCATCCTTTACCTAGCACACAGTTGGTGCTCACACCAATCTCATGCCCCCAAACCTCAATTTCCACATCTGTTCAATGAATCTATTTTGTCCATCTAATCTCAAGGTAATGATGGCCGCCTGCAGTAAGACCTGGTGATGAGAATTTATTCTGACTCATGATCTTGGTATCAACTAGTGGTTGTCCAAAATTTATTAACAGCCCTGGCTGCTGTGACTCAGTGAATTGAGCATTGGCCTGTGAACCAGGTCCCTGGTTGGAGGCATGCGGGAAGCAACCAGGCAATGTCTCACACGTGGATGCTTCTCTTCCTCTCTCCCCTCTCTTAAAAATAAATATCTTTTTAAAAATTTAAAAATATTAGTTTTCACTTAAAAGAAAAATAAAGCTTATTTTAAAGTTTCTATTTTTGTGACTGATAAAAACTTGAATCTTTAACTCTGAAGCTACAACCACACGCTGAATCTCTGTACTAAATGTTTGTCTTTGCTGGGACTAGCTTTTCTCGGTTTAATTTAGCAGTTTTGGAATTGGTATTTTCTCCTCCTATAGACGAAGCTGAGACTCAGAGAGGTCATGTAACTTGTTCAGTGTCAATGAGTAATTGCTGAGCCAGGACTTGCACGTAAAGCCGGAGCCCTCTCCTGAACCCAGGCCCAGGCCTAGTCTCACTCCGTTAGGGCCCAGCCAGCCAGGCCTGCCCTCCACATAAGCCAAGGATATCGCTGGCTGTCGACATCCTCAGACAGCAGGCGAAGTTGAGTGGTACAGACGTGGATCAGGTGGTCCAGCTGCCGCTCATTCTCCTGCAGCTGCTGGAGGTCCTGAGTCAGTCCTTCAAGCCGCCCACTGATCCCCACTGCTGCGTGGCTGCCTCTGTGGGGACACACAAGGAGGGTTAACGGCTCCTGGGCCCTCTGCCCAGGAGCTCTGACCCTCTGCACCCAGAATGACTGGCATGGGCTTAAAAATCAGACCTGAATTTCTGTAAACATCCACCTGTGCCTTAAATGAAGCTGGATAAGTAAGCGATGGCACAGACATGCCATGAAATATTACAGCTGTATTAAAGGATGACAATGTGCCCTGGCTGGTGTAGCTCAGTGGATTGAGCTCAGGCCTGCGAACCAGACGATCACAGTTTGATTCCCAGTCAGGGCACGTGCCTGGGTTGCAGGCCAGTTCCCAGCAGAGGATGCACGAGAAGCAACCATACACTGATATTTCTCTTCCTCTCTCCTTCCCCTCTCCCTCCCCTCTGAAGATAAATAAATAAAATCTTATAAAAAAAATAAAATAAAGGATGATAATGCATTAGCTGTACAGACACAGAAGTACTTCTAAGCTGCCGTCCAGTAAAAAAAAAAAGATGCACTATGGAATGATCTATCAAACGCTGAAAAGGTATATAACCCAGTGATTCCACTTCTGGATATAATATCCAAAAAAAATCCCAAAACACTAGTTTGAAGGAATATATGTACCCCTATGTTAACTGCAGCATTATTTACAATAGCCAATTATTTACATTATTTACAATTGGGATATGGAAGCAATCTAAGTGTCCATCAATAGATGAGTGGATAAAAAAGCTGTGGTGCACGCATATAAAATGAAATAATTATTCAGCCACAAAAAGGAATGAAATCTTACCATTTGTGAAAGCATGGATGGACTTAGAGGGTAGTGTGCTAAGTGAAGCCAGTAAGAGAAAGACAAGTACCATAAGATTTCATGTATACTGTGT